TGTATGTATGTATGTATGTATGTATGTATGTATGTATGTATGTATGTATGTATGTATGTATGTATGTATGTATGTATGTATGTATGTATGTATGTATGTATGTATGTATGTATGTATGTATGTATGTATGCATGTATGTATGTATGTATGTATGTATGTATGTACGTATGTATGTATGTATGTATGTATGTATGTATGTATGTATGTATGTATGTATGTATGTATGTATGTATGTATGTATGTATGTATGTATGTATGTATGTATGTATGTATGTGCTTGTAATTTTGTTTGCCTTTTTTATCTCTATAATGGAAGCGTAACATCTACTGCTTTTTTAACTTCTTCCGAATAATTTTAAATCCTTCCAAGCTACACATACAAACAAACATACAGACAGACATACAGACAAACATACAAACAAACATACAGACGGACATACAGACGGACGCACAAACAAACATACATACATACAAACAAACAAGCATACAAACAGACATACAGACAAACATTCAAACAAACATACAGACGGACATACAAACAAACATACAAACGTACAAATAAACAAACATACAGACAGTCATATATACAGACAGACACACATAAAACACACAAACACGCACACATACACAGAGATAGAGAGAAAGAAAGAGAAAGAGAGAGAGAGAGAGAGAGAGAGAGGGAGAGGGAAAGTCATACAGTAAATTGCTCAGCGGGCGTTCACGAGACGTGTATCGATGGTTATGCAAAAAGTCGCGCGCTATATAAATCCATACAATATATATATATATATATATACACAATATATATAAATCCATACAATATATATATATATATATACACAATATATATAAATCCATACAATATATATATATACAATATATATAAATCCATACAATATATATATATATATATATATACAATATATATATATACATACAATATATATATATATACAATATATATATATACATACAATATATATATATATACAATATATGAATGTTATATATATACAATATATATGTATATATATATATATATACAATATATATATACAATATATATATATATATATATATATATATATATTGTATATATAGAATGTATCAGGTTTCCATCGCAATTGATGCCTATGTCACGTGGTCGCCTCAGGCAGATGATGATGATGGTGGTGGCGGGATGATGATGATGATAACGATGATGATGATGCCGATTATGATGCCTATGTTATGATAGTAATAATGAGATGATGATGATGATTGTAGCGAAACATTGGTTATATAGAGAAGTTGATAATATTAAGGTTGGCTAACGATGTCTGACCGTATAATGTAATGACGCTGACGATGATGGGGCATTTGAGTTTTTTTTTATCTAAATAATGGTGAAAATATCTATGGGGAAAATGAAGAAAATTCAATGCACCCTTTTTTTCATCGTCATCATTACCCACATCATCATCATCATCGTCATCGTCACCCACAATCGTCATCATCATCATCATCGTCATCATCAGCATCATCATCGTCATCATCATCAGCATCATCATCCTCATCATCATCGTCATTGTCATCATCATCATCATCACCCACATTATCATCATCATCATTGTGCCCAGCAAGAGTTGGCATTCCTACGTTGTGACATGTTTTTTTTCTAGTAAAAAGTTCATAAAAGAACAGTTTTTTGAGTACAATCGACCAAAAATCAAAAATTGAACATGGTAAGCAAAAGAAATAGGGGGTCTGCCACACTACCACAAACTTGGCCTCCCCCGTGAAAACCTTGGCCTCCCCGCGTGAAAATTTTAGCCCTTCCCTTGAAAATTTTGGTCTTCCGCCGCTAAAATTTAAACATTTTCAAATTTTTAGCCTCCAGCCCGTCAAAGTTTTCTAGATCGGGCATTGTGTACGTCTAGATTATTTTATTGTCGTCTTATTCGTAGCATCGCAGCAGAGATAAGATAAGATTTAACTAAAAAAGGTGAGGAGAGAGATCGAGAAATCGAAAAATATGCTGGCAGACGTATTTTCGTTCTGCTGTCTTCCGTTTAAAAGATTCTTATATTTATACTTCTTTTCCTCCAGCTGATCTCATAAGTGTTCTTTATAATCTATCTCTATATCTTTCTTCAATTATCGCCTGGTCTGACTCTATGTGTCTTAAACTTAATCTTTCTAAATTTGAATTAATTTGTTTTAATAAATTTAACACTCGATTACTATTCCCCCTATTATCTTACCTGATTCTAAAACTCTTGATGTCTCTCATAAGTTTCGTAGTCTAGGTTTTATCTTTGATTCTACTATGTCTCTTTCTTCTCAGATTAATAGTGTTGCTAGAAGCTCTTACTTTCATCTACGTAGAATAAAAAAACTTTTGCCTTTTCTTGATGATCCTACTCTTCTCCTTCTTGTTACTTCGTTGGTCTTATCTAGGATTGTTTATTGTAACTCGTTCTACTATGGTCTTCCTGGTTCTACACTCTATCCTTTAAGTAAAGCTTTTAACTCTGCTGCTCGTCTAGTTGCTCGTGCCCCTTTCTTTTCTCATATATCTCCATATCTTGTTCTCTTGCACTGGCTACCTATAAAATATAGAATAATTTTTAAAATTTGCACATTTATGTATAAGTCTCAATCTAAACTATTCCTAAGCACTTATCAGATATATTAATTGAACCTAACCGCCCCGGTTTACGATCGTCTTCTTGTTCTCACTCGTGTTAAACACTCTTTTGCTAAATTCATTTTCTGGGCCTTTTCTCTGGAACTCTCTACCTACTTCCGTAGG